TTACTCTGTCCAATAGTTACTATAGTTACTTGGACCAGCACTACAAACTTTTCTAATGTTTTTCTTTTCTTTTTACAGATATTGTCTTTTGGGGCCAATTAGTTTTCTTGTTTTTGGAAATATTGCTTGTTTTATATCTCTGTTTGTTTACATTGCACTTTATTTTATTGGAAGAAGAACATCCAAGTCAAAAGGTAGGTTTAGTATATGTCAAAGTCCATGATTTAGTATTAACATTTAAATGACTTAATTTGAACATAGGCACAGACTGTATTTGTTCTGAGACTTACATCTCTAATAGAAGTGCACGATTCATTCATGGTACACTGGGTCAATAAAATATGACTTATTTTGATTGTAGACACATCTCTATTATTTATGTAAGTGCATATTACACATAGAGCAAATACAGTATCTTGTATAAATGGACACTAGAGGGCACTGTTCAACATTACAGTCGGAAATATACTGGTAGTAGATGGGCATCTATTACGATTTTAGGTTTAATTTTTTATATTTTTTTATTGGAAAAAAATCTTTTAATAAAGGAAAAAGTTAAAAATAACATTTTTACAGCACCATCATTCTTAAAAAAAGTTTTAAAAAAATTTAAGATTACAGTCACTGTTAACTCTTTGGGTCAACTTTTGTCACCGTCAACAAATTTAAAAACCACATAATTTTTTCATAATTTAATTTTTTATATTTTGTTATTGGAATAAAATCTTTTGCCAGAAAAATTATGGCACCCAAAAGTTTGAATCAAATTGTGTTATGGTGTCTCACATTGTTATTACAATGTTCGCATGCATAATGCTATCCAAAAAAATAATATTCCCAGATAAAAAAATCTGATTTCTGGTATTAATTTCTTGAGTACCATAATTTTTCTGGCTAACCTTTGTTTGCAATATTTTGCATATTTTTTTGTCTCTTGTTTGTTAATTTTGGACCAGATAGACATAATTTCCCATTGAGTGCCAGACATTTTTTCCGCCCAAAATTTTGTGCAAATATTTTCACATTTTGTTTAATAATTATCACTAAATTTCATCATCAATTTAGACTATACAGACAGTTTCAAATATTGCTTTTAGTTTTTGATCAAAAGATTTGTCAATTTTTGAACATTTCTTTTGGGAAGGAGCAGACTATACAAAATCATTTTGTAAAAGATGCCATAATTCGGCAATGGCAAAAGGTTAAAATAAAAGAAATATGGGAAATTCATTTTGCGAAAGGTGAAAAAAATTGACTTGGGCGCTCAAAGGGTTAAATCTCAAAAAGCCATAAAATAGAACTGCATACTTAATATGTAGTTATTGCCTTAATTACAATGTCTTGCAAGACAATTAGACAATTCTTCTGAAAAATATTGCAATTACTGTATTTCCTGTATTAAAAGGTTACATGCATATACCACCATATGCAAATCTTTTCAGAAGAGTTATGTTTATAAACTATGCAGGCAAGGATGGGTTTTTAGGTTTCATTGTGTGGAGCTTCACTTCTAATAAAGGAAATACAGTATCCCTAGTATTAATTACAATCAGTCTCTGGTGAAGATTACAGATTTAAGTAGTGTCATGATCTCTGATTGGCTGCAGTTTTTTTTTTTTAAATCAGCTTAATGTGGCTTTATTTTGTGTAAGGTTATGAAAGTTGACTTAGGTGTTACAATCATTATTAACAATAATATAATATTACCCCCGGGTAATTTATGGTACAAGTTGATAAAGAGTAGTTTTAATGTATATACAATATTATAAAGGGTGCTGCATGGGGAATAGCTGCATAGTAACCTAGGAATGCAATGTTGGAATGCTGTATAGATTGTGCGACTCGTAGAATGTCGTTTATTCTTAAATAAAGCAGGAATATGGGCATCGCTTGACCATTTGAATTAACGCTTTTCGACCAACCAACCAATGGGAATTGTGACATAGCAACCCTTTCGCAGAGTGGAATAATCGACATTTGGCGAGTCGCACAATCGCGTCACAGAGTTTGTTTCTAGACCCCAATACATACATGGATATAGACATG